GGTACGGTACAGCAGCCCCGCCCCCTGCGCACAGGGCCGCGTGCTCCCCTGGGGACGGCTGCGCCTCCTCCTGCAGCAGCCCCTTCCTGACCAGAGCGGCCGGCGGGACCCCCGAGGAGCCTGTGCTGTCCCCCGTCCGGCCGCACAGCCCCGGCTCCCTCTCCACGGCGCTGCCTCCGCTCCTTTCAGGTGAAGCGACACTCTTAGTCCCAGGACTAAGTGGACGAAGAAACAGCTCAGGCTGTCACCAGCCCTGCGCATGCCCGTGCGCGTGTCCCTACTGGATTCACAGGCCGAAGTCCCCGCGTTAGTGCGCTTTTCTGCACTTGCAAATGAGCTTGATCATATCTGTTATGCTTATTACCATTATAAGTGCTTATATATGTTCCTTCCCCCATTGTTGGTTTCTGTGTAATTTTCTCTATTCTCTATGTTTAGAAATATTATTTAAACCATAACCTTTTTCTTTTTTCATATGTCACAAATATTTCCCTACTTTGACATTTGCTTCATCATATGGTTTTATTTTGTTTTCAGTTAACAGCAATTGACAGTCATAAGAAAAGGAGAGAAAGCTCAAATAACTAGATTGTTGGCTCTTCTGCCACAAATACCACACTGTTTTACTCAGCGTAGCTTTACATACAGTTTATATCCACCAGGCCAGAGTGCTCCTCTTTCTCAGAGACTTAGCATGAGCACTGGCACCCCTGCTCCATGCTCCAGCCACAGCAAACTGTCTCCTCTCCCTGCTGTGCTCCTTTGTGCGTCACTCCCCACGGCTCAGCATCTCCCACGCTCACTCTGCCTGGCCTCTGGCAAATTGGGTCACACTCTTTGGGTCTCATTTCAAACTCCGTGGTGGAGCTGTCCCTGCCAACCCCACGCATTGCTGCCTCAGGGGTCACTCCCTAAACCCAACCTCACCTTGTCCCTGTTGTCATTAAGACTTCATGGCAGTGTAATGGCCTGCTTGTGTGGCTGCATCTCATGAGTGCAGGGGATGCTGTCTCTTAATTTCTGGATTCCAAATCTGGCACACAACAGCCACTTGGTAAACGTCAGACTGACTGATCAACGCAGGCCTGGATGATAAACTGCACCAGTCACACAACAGATGAGCCATGTCACTCTCTCTCTCTGTCTCTCTCTCTCTCTCTGTCTCTCTCTCTCTCTGTATCTTTCTCTCTCTCTCTCTCTCTCTCTCTCTCTCTCTCTCTCTCTCTCACACACACACACACACACACACACGCACACACGTGTGTACACCCCAATACAGAAATTTCTGTCTATATAGTGCCTAGATCAGTTTGGGGCATATGGCAGCTCCTTTATAAATATATGGAAAGGAAAGAAGAAGAGGGGAGGAGCTTTTGGACAAGAGAGGGAGGGAAGGAGAGAGGAAGGAAGGAGCTGTACGTCTGTGGAAACCCTCAGGAGAGCTGCAGACAGACAAAGATGTAGCTGCTCCGTCGTCAACTCAATCAGGCCCCCAGGACATGAAACCGTAGTGACTGACAGCAAAGGCAAATCACTGCTCTTCTGGGTCAGAACAACTCCCGTTATTTCAGAATTCACTTGACATAACTGTGTAATTGCAGCTGGGCAGGTTATTAGCCCTCATGTAATTGTTTTACTTTAGCTGTGCTTATTTTCTTGCTACCTAATTGATTTCTCATTCTCTTATCAATTTTATCTCGGCGAGATAAAGGCAGATGTAGAAAAGATCCATGGACAACAATTGCAAAGGAATAAGTGGGAAAAAAAGCACGTTAGCCACGGAGCACTGATTGGTAACATGTAAATAAGCACATTAGTCATGGAGCACTGATTGGTAACATGTGAGAAAAATCCATTTATCGTGCTTGGGGAATGGGGATCACTCTGTGGGAAAGCTCCACGTCGGGTTGGCACAGCCCTGTGGGTTGAGTGCAAGGCCATGGTGGGTAGAAGGGCTGCCGGGACCTGGCCAGCACTGACCACGGGCATGAGGCCCAAGGCCAAGGGAGATGACAGGGGCCTGAACCAACCCATCACATCAGGAAAGGAAGTGACATCCTGTATATTGTTGCCCTAGAGGTGGCAAGAGGAATGCCTTTTGCGAAAGCCTTTCTTACTAGATTGCTAAGTTAGGCCGGATGTGTGAGGTTAAATTTGCGCCATCCATACCACTTTCACACTTAGCTGCTCATGGCAGCCCTTCCCCAGGCATGTGAGTGGTTCAGGAACAGCGATCGGTCCAGTTCTGGCCAATGAGATACAAGGAAGGGTCTTCTGAAGAGCTCTGGGAAAGGTTTCCCTAGGCTGAAGAAAGAAGCCCAGGAGAGGATGGCTTCTCTTCTTCTCTGGACATTGGTGTGTCTGGATTGACACCTGGAGCTGCTGCAGCCTGACTTAGGAAGCCGCCTACGCTGAAAAGAAAAGGGGTTAAAGTTCATGGGCCGGCCCGGTGGCGCACTGCTACAGTGCGCTGCTTGGGAGCGTGGCGGCGCTCTCGCCGAGGGTTCGGATCCCACATACAGACCGGTTCCCGCTCACTGGCTGAGCGAGGTGCGGGTGCAGCACTGAGGGTTGCGATCCCGTTGCCGGTCCCGGTCCGGTATGCGCGCGACACTGAGGGTTGCAATCTGTTGCCGGACACGAAAAAAAAAGACAAAAATAAAAATAAAAATAAAAAATAAAGTTCAGCCTCCACCCAGCCCTACCTTTGAAGTTGCAATGATGGGAGATAATAAAGATTTGATTGCTTGAGCCAATGGGAGTTGGGAGTTTTCTGTAACTTGCTACCAAAAGCATCCTGACTGATGCCCGACTGTCCCTACTTGCTGGCCCCAGACAGTGGCAAATTCATCTGAACTACTGAAGGCTGTAGTGTGACCTCTTTGTCTGCTGCCTTTAGCACATCTCGGTTAGCTCTGGTGCTAGGCAAGTCACTAGGAGCATCCCCCTGCCTTTCTGTGTCCTGGGAGCCCATCAAACCCTGTACCAATGGATTGTATATACCAAGACTTTACATTTTTCTTAGTCCCTTAAGCATCAAGCTGTTTTTATACATTTTCCCTCAAAGATTGGTTCTGCCTTGATACCTCCCAGCACCCAACCACACACAGACATGCTTGTGGTCCCCGACCCTTTATGACTCTTTCATTCACTCTTTATTTCTAGAAATACCTGTAGAGCACCCACTCCCTGCCAGACATGGGCCAGGCAAGGGGATACAGCAATGGCAAGACACACGAGGGTACTTAAAAGATCTGTGGAATAATAGAGTTGAAAAATAATCCAAATCTTTCCATGAGCTTTTTGAAGTACCCTCGTACATGGCTTCAAGACTCTTCCTGAGTAACAGAATAGGCGGCCAACATGGGGAGAAGTCACAACACAGTGTGATGAGTGTTGGGTCGCATGAAGTAGAGAGTCCCGTGGGACCCACGGCAGAGGGCGCTTACCTGGTCTAGGGATAAAGCAAGGCCTCCAGGGGGATGTAACTAGAGCCATAGATAGCATATGCGGCCCAAATACATCCCGCAAAGGAGCCCGTGTACCCTCCTGTGAGAACACATGACACACTGGTTGACAAGCCTGTGAGGTCAGAGGGCCATGGCTATGGTCCAGCTCTGCCATCCTCCAGCTACATAAACTCAGGCAGGTCACTGAATCTCTCAAAGCTGCGGTCTTCTCCTCTAGAGAATGTGGATAACACTAGCACTGACTACATAAAGTTGTTGGAGAGATTCGATGAGATAATCTCCAGAAAGGACCTGGCATCATTCTTGGCTGGCTGTCATGGTGAGCTGATCACTAATATCATTGTCAACATCACATCAGAGCTTTGGTGGCCGATAGACCTCGATTTGAGTCTTGTCTCTAACACATTCTAGTTGTGGGACTTCAGCCTCGTCATCCATAAAGCGGAGACAATAAACCCTTCTTCCCACAGTTCACATGTGAAATCACAAAATAAGCACTTGTACGAAACAAAAAAGCACAGCACATATTAAGCAATTACCACATGGTGCCCAGCACCATGTTAAGCAACAGAGTTAATGGGACAGGACGGAAGGTTCCACTCTAACGCTGAAGAGCAGGGATGGAAAGGAAGTTGCAGATGTGGAGTCATTCTGAAGGGACAGCCCACAGAACTCTGCGATTAATTAGATAAAGCAAGAAAGAAGGAGACAAATGTAATGCAGAGGTCTCTCCGATGCCCTAAGAAGTAGCTTGGTTGGGCAATGAGTGGCAGGGCCACCCCAGTGACGAGGTGTGGGCTGAGCTGGCAGCAGAGCTGGCATGGGCTTCCCGCTCCTCTGATTGGTCCTACGTAGAAAGAGAAAGGGTGACTTATACCCAAATCCCTAACCTATAAGACCTTTCTTAACTCTTCCATTGTGTATACGGTTGATGGTCAATAAGTATAGAGTTATTGATCAATTAAATATGGGGGCTGCAATCCTCATATAACATTAACATGTCATGGTGGTTGCAATCTTACCTTGTGTGTTAGTCTGTTTTGTGTTGCTATAACAGAATACCTGAGACTGGGTAATTTATAAAGAACAGAGGTTTATTTGGCTCATGATTCTGGGACAGCTGCATCTGGCATGGGCCTCAGGCTGCTTCTATTCATGGCAGAAAGTGGCAGCAGCCGGCAGGTACAAGCCGATCACACAGTGAGAGGAAGCAAGAGAGAGAGAGAGAGAGAGAGGAGGTGCTAGGGTCCCAAATACAACAAGTTCTCATGGGCACTAATTGAGTGAGAACTCTCATTAATCCCCCCACCCCCAGGGAGAGCATTAATCCATTCATGAGGGATCCGCCCCCATGACTCAATCAGCTTCCAGCACTGCCACGTTGGGGATCAAATTTCCACATGAGTTTTGGAGGGGACCACACATCCAAACTCCATCACCGTGGGTTTCATTTATCTGGGAAAGAAGTTGCCTTGCTGTAACAGATATTCAACCTGGGGTCAAGAATAGACTCAGTAATAACTTTTTACTCATTTTTTTCTTTAATGCAGGCATACAAATTCCAAAAAAATTCCTTGGGCAGGTATGAGAAGGAATGGAGGTGCTCCAGACAGGCCTCAAGCTTTCCTGGAGTGCTCAGAGGGGTTCGCTGAGCAGGAATGGGAAAAGGCCATTAGGGAGCAGAGGGTTCTGACAGTCATTAGCTAAGTTATATTCTAAAGAGCACTAAAAGCAATTAGTGCTTTGTCAGCTACTGCCAACTGGAGCTCTGATTTTTTTTAATTAGTGATTCTCAAGAGGGAAGGATGTGCTGTTTTAAAATAAAGTGATGCCTTGTCCCAAAGATTTTAGTGAAGGTGCTTAATATACTTGAAATGTTAAGTAACATTAAAGTGGGGTATAAATTGTTATATTTATCAAAGGAGAAGTAGGATGCAAAATTTCCTGATGCTTTTGAATCATTAAAATTTTATCTGTTAGGCACAGATCACATCATGCAAGTGTGGGTGTGATATACTGTGAAAACTGGCAAAAAAGAGGGGAAGATAAATCACATTTTATAAGTCTCCACTCATTTTCAAGCACTGTGTTTGGCACCTTAAGTACTGTCACATCTGATACTCAAAAAACTCAAGAAGTTTGTATTATTATCTCCACGTTACAGAGTCTTGGCTGACGCTCAGTGTATTAATTATCTATTGCTGCGTAACAGATTAGCATAAACCTGGTGACTTAAAACAATATACGTTTATTATCTCACTGTTTCTGTGGGCCAAGAGTCTTGACGTGGCTGACGTGGGTCCTCTGCTGAGGCAAGGCAGCTGTCAAGGTGTTAGCCAGGGCTCAGGGGTCATCAGAGGCTCGACCAGGGCAGGACCTTTTCCAAGCTCCCTCAGGTTGTTAGCAGAACTAATTATCTTGTGGCCATAGAATTCACGATAGTTTGCTTCTTCGAAGCCAGCAAGACAGGTGCTCCACTTAAGTAGTCACATGCAATCCGTCACCTTTGCCATGTGCCATTGATTAGAAGCAAGTCACCGGCTCTGCTCACACTCAAGGGGAGAGAATCACACAAAAAACATGAACACCAGAGGCAGAGATCAAGATGACACATTAAAGATGGCCTAAAGTCAAGGACACAGAACAAGCAAGTAGTGGAGGAGACCTCGGTCTCTCTGACTCCGGAGATTCTAATCACAGCTCTGCCTCTGACCATCGGGGTTACCTTGAGGAAACTGTGTAACTTCAGCAGGTCCTAGCCCCTCACTGAGGAAAAAAGCAACTACATCCAACCGATCTTTATGGTCCCGTTTAGTGTCGATCTGCTGTGACTCTGTAATCAGCAAGTACAGGGTGCAGGACTGGCTAAGAGACCCTCCATCCCCACCTCACAACAGGGGAAGTGGGCGTGGTCCTCGCTGCGTCCTCACAGGAGGTACCTACCTGTCATTTTTATATTTTCTTTTGTCCTCTTCATAGTGTCATCTATGGCATTGTGATTCGAACTATTTGGATGAAGAGCAAAGCCCAGGAGACAGTGATTTCCAACTGCTCAGGTAAGTCTCTAACCCACGTCACCCAGCCCTTGGCTAACCTTGATCTTGCAGAAGTCTTCCTCTAGCAGATATGAGCGGGGCCTCCTGGACCCACAAGCCTGCATGACTGCAGCAGGTCCCAGCCGGCAGGCCCGGTCCGACCTCCTCTCACATCGGGCCGGTGTCTGTCTGCACACTGCTTCTTCTAGAAAAGCAAGAGCAACCAGACAGGATAAACCAAACAAGTTGATTTTATTCAGCGGGAGTGGCTCCGACCAAAGGTTAGAATATTTGTCTGAAAAAAAATGGGCGAGGGCATTCTTCTATCAGATATCGAATAAATACAGTAAATACTGTAATTGTTGAAGCAAGATATCCTTATCATGGAATTACATGAATAGGGATAAAGAACAGAACAGGAGCTCTAAAGAAACCTCAAGAATTTAGGGTATAATGAACTACGTTAAATTGACAGGGAAATAGAAGTTGTTTAATAACTAGCAGGGAGACAGCTACCTAACTATTTGGGAATGAAGACGGTTAGATTTCTGCCTCATGCTGTAAGGAAAGAAACTCTGACTAAAGAAAGGAGGACGGGGAAAAAGACAGAGAAAGAAAGGGAAAGGAAAGAAAGTATGAGAACTGTTATTTATAATCAGGAAAAATGTTTAAAGGTCTGAGCACCCTACAATGAGGGACTGAGTATAATAATTATACAGCCCTACAATGAAATACTAGAACTCTAAAAATTATTGTGTAGTGAGTACTCACTGGCATTGAATGATGCCTACAGTGTGATCGGTTAAGAAGGAGAGAGCAGTATGGTGTCACTTTTATAAATATGTGACACATATGTATTATACAACAGAATGTATGTGTGCATGTGTAGGTAATAGCTGGACAGATCGATGGAAAATGTCAAGAAGCACAAATGCTAAATGTTATAGTGATTATCTCTGAATGGCAGAATTTCAATTGATTTTTATTTTCTTCTTTTTTTCTACTTAACTGTATGTTATAATTTTCTACAATTGCATAAATTATATGATACAAAACAATAGCTTAGTGGCCCTTTAGCCTGGGTAAACAGCCTGTATTATACTAGCTGTATATACTTGAGATATTCTTTTGTTTTTTTAATCATCAACTCAGCCCCCTTAAAAAAGTACATTTTCAATGTTTCTCTGTGTAAATTTCATGCTTGGGTCCAGTAAGTCCTCATGCTGAGACTGATTACATATAGACGCTATGAATCCCTAAACTTTTGCACTTTCAAAACTTACATACGCAGTGAATGGGCATCACGAAGATGAGATGTATCCTGATATCCAGGTAGGATCAGGTACCGCCAGCAAGAGGAAGCCCCCAGAGGCTGATATGAGAGATACAGAAGGTGCCTCTACTGCCCTCAGTCCTCTCCCTGCTAAGATTCCGTGATGCCTGAAATTCCCATCAATGGAGCTGGTCCTTTCCCATTTAGATATTTTCTCTAGGAGAGCCCGGGAGAAGTACATTTGTTGGCTGGACTGAGCAACGTACATCACACAAGTATATACTGGTTAAGTGAGTTGTCACTTAGCAGAGTGTATGGACTCGGTTTGATGGTTGACAGGTCAAGTGTGGTGAGATCAGAGGATTTAGGGAAGTCCAGAGCCTGGGGCTGGAGAGGGCAGAGGGGATGGCAGGGCAGGTGGGTGTCTTAGTGTGCTCGGGCTGCTGCAACAAAATACCACAGTCCAGATGACTTAAACAACAGAAGTTCATTTTGTTGGTTCTGGAGACTAGGAAGTCTGAGATCAATGTGCCAGCCAGTCCGTTCCTCGTGAGGATTTCTTCCTGGCTTGCATGTGGCCACCTTCTCGCTGTGTCCTCACACGGCAGAAAGACAGAGCCCAAACTTTCTGATGTCTCTTCTTTTAGGACTCCACCCTCATTACCTCATCTAACCCTAATTACCTCCCAAAGGCCCCATTTCCACATACCACCACATCGGGGCCCAGGGCTTCAAGAAATGAATTTGGGGGAGACACAAACATTCAGTCCATAACAGGGGGAGAGTCAGGAGAAAAAGAGAGAGACAGAGAGACGGTGGAAATAAAAAGACCAACCAAATAAGAACAGACAATGGCTATTTTTTCAGAGCTTGCTCTAACAAGGGAGTCAGTACCAACACTTGCTTTTTTGGCAGGCAGAGGGAGGCGTGGGAAAGTTTTGTAGTGAAAGAAAGGAAGGCTTCGGGTGTGTGCCGACTGGGCTGGTGACGTGGGAGAGCTGATGGTGTGCCAACTAGAAGCGGGGCGTCCCTTGAGATTGGTCAGGGGTGCATATTTGGCTTCTCCCATTGGTTTCAACTTGGAAGTAGGACAAAAATTAGAGAACCTGTCAGGTATTAATCAAGTCCTGGCCACTTGGGCTAGATTTTACAGGCGTTATCATTTGGCTTTCTGGACTGTTCAGTAGAGATAGTGGTTTGACTCCCTACATGTCTGAGTTGTAGATAGGAGGTTGGCTTTAGAGATGGTTACTGGAGGTTAGGAATTGGTTTTCTGGGTTGGCTGCTGCAGAGTGTGGGTCAGAGTTCGATTTTTACATATGACTGACCGTCATCTGTCTGTTTATTCAGTCTCTCCACATGGACAGACAAGACGGAAGGACAAACAGAGCAGGTACTGTCAGCCACTAGACTAGGTCCCTTCCGTGTGTTATCGCCTCTAATCCTTACGTAACCCTTGGAAGTGGTGTTATTAACTGGCTTCTACAGATGGAAGACAGGCTCAAAGGTTTGCAGCTTGCTCGTTTCCAGAGGTAGCACACAACATGACCAGGATTCAAATGCACATGTGATGGACCAGAAAGCCTGTGCTTCCTCCCCTGATCAGGCTGCCTACAAGAAAGAAGGGTGTCATAGAAAAAGAACTGGTGGGTGACCGAAAAAGGCTCAAAATTTACAAAAGGAAACTTTCTCTGTCACTAAAAACCCGACCTCATGGTCTTTGGCCTGGCTTCCATTCCACGACGCTCCCTCAGCGCTCTGCCTCTGGAGCACTACTCTAGTCTCATCTCCTGAAGTTTCTGCTTTGATATATTTAAAATCTAAAATGTGCGTCATGACTGGCGGGTTCAGGGCCCAACTTTGTTGAGGTAGCTGAGGTCTTCCTGCACTTTCAGGTTTAAGTGAGATTGGTGTAAACCCTGGTCCTGTGAGTTCTACCAATTCCAGGAGGCCGGCACGCTCCTCCCTGCCTGTCTGTCCCTCTGGGCTCTCACCCTCACTGTCCCACCTCATACAGCTCTTCTGTTCCGTCCAGAGTCCCCCACGTCACCCGCGTACTACATTTTCCAGCCTCTGGACTCTTGGGCTCCCCAGACCTCCAGTCTCTAAAATGGTACAAAGTTACTTACAGATTTGCTTCCTGCTGATATACAGTGGGCCGTCAGCCCTTCTCCAAAGGTGGAAATGGCTACAGTCCACTTTTATTCTTTAATACACCTATACAATATTTCTATTACACCTGTTTTTTAGGTTTCTATACCTTTTATTACCATCAGCGGCCTCCTTCTGGAATGAGGGCAGCTGGTATTCTCAAAAGCTCATATACTCTCGGTATCTTATTCTTAAATGGAAGTCACTTGCTTTCCTGTCTATCATTACAGCCAAGCAGCTCTGGAGTTGGCTGATAAATAGAATCGCCAGCAGTGTTAAGCATGCCAGAATTATTACTCAACAGCCAGGGGACATTAGCAGTGATCAGTGTGAACAGAAGCTCACTTTGTAAACACTGGCTGAAAAATTCAAGCCATCCTTAGTGTAAAAACCACTCTTCTTGCTGGCAAATATGTCTATTTTCTCCCACTCAAAGGCTGACAGAAATAAAATGAAAAAGAACTGTTTTATAAATGATCTAAAGACTTGCCACAAACAAGCGTGGAGCGTGAGAGGTAGAGGAGATGAGGTTTCCGCTGTTGTATGTTGCCTTTCATGAAAACATTCACTGCATGAGAGCAGGAGACCAGGGAGGCACAACCATGCAGCAGACAAACTGTCACATGTCTGGATACAGCAGCGCCTGGCCATAATGGCTTGCAGATGTGAAGGTCTCCACGCTATATCCAAACTGCGCGTTTCAAATTAAGTGAGGCAGAATGGGGTGAAGATAGAAGCTATGGACTGGAAACTAGGTTAGAGTCATATTTACATTCCGCCTCAATGAATTTAAGAGAAGCCCATTCATTGCTCAAAGTATCAGCTTCTTCATCAGTAACTGTAGATAAAATGGCTTCTCTACAAATGGCTACACTTAACAAAAGTCGTGCAAGAAAAATATAAACATACAAATTAATGAAGATTAGAACACGTTCATGGAACCTAAGATTCCATATAAAAAAGACATCAACTCTCCCACCTGATCTACATGTTTATTCAATTTCAATCAAAATTGAATTGAAATATTTTATTGAGCTTGACAAGCCAATTTTAAAATATGCATGGAAAAGTCAAGAGCCAAGGATAGCCGAACATTCCTGGAGGTCGAGGAGGTTCAATGCACCAAATGTTAAGATCTGTCGTGAAGTCGGAGTGATGGACAGGTGTGGCGTCCTCACCCAATCCCCATCTCTCAACTTATTGGAAGCTCGCTTGAGGCCGTCTGAAACAGGTGGGAGGCCACATTCTTACCCCAATGTTTGCCTCAAGGATGAGTCGCAATGGATCTTTGCTGGGTAAAACCTCTCAATGTTACAGCTTAATGTAGGTCCCAAATTAGGGGACCACGGCCAGCTTTATTGGCTGGGACCAGCGCACTTAGAAGAGGGCTCCATTTGGTTGAATGCTCTGCCTGCAGTTTCATTCTGCACTGGGCACACACAGCATGTAGCCAGTGCTTCTGGGAACTAGAAGCAGGTGGCGTCTGCAACTCTACAAAACCCCAAATTTGGAGATTTTCCCTGACTGCCTCTCATTTTTGCTCATTAGCCAACCAACTCTTTTCTAAGTTCATTTCTTTTTTCCAATTCCAGCTAAA